CCAAACAATCCATAAATACTGATATTTTTTACAGGGATGCAAAACAAAATGCTGAAAATGTTTAGTTTTAATGGCTTGAAATTATATTCACGTGTATTCAGGGGAAAAGTTTTTAAAATTAGAGGCTCTACTTCTCAGATAGCTTAACAACATTTACTGCAATTCAGTTCTTGTGCATGAGGTGGGTACAGAATTTTCCATCCGAATCTCCGATTGCCAAAGGAACTGAATGTTATCTGCAATCAGTGAAGGCCAGCGCATACATTTACAGGGTTCCTAGAAAGTTCTGTGAGATTAATAGAGTTTGGAAAGCTAAGGTACAGCAAACAACTCCACTGAAGACTCTGAAGAATGCTTTAGTACTTCTTACCATGTTTCTTTTAGCTGTTAAGCACTATACAGTGCACAAGCTCAAAAGATGTATTTCAGATTTGATCCTTGCTTTGATTCTCAGTTCGGTGGATTCAACTAAAAAAGTTCACTTTGAGAAATAAAAAATACATGGTAATTAAAGTTTTAGAGTAATTTTAATGCATTATATGTTAAAATTGCTTTACCTGAATTAGCAGAAGCACATCATCCTGAATAAATTCCCTAGTTAAATAAAAGCTCTCTTTTACTACATTGTATTTTCTCCTCCCTACCTATTTTTTGCTGAGACTTCAAGACATTTTCTACTTGAAGTATAACACCACAACTCATTTTAATGCATTACAAGATGTGTTTCTTGTGTTTCAATTACACTGGTAATTCATTGTTAAAGGATGAAAGAGTTATAGCATTTAGCATTAGTCATACATATCACAACTGGTTTGTTTTTTAATTTTTTTTATTAGAAACTTAACAGCTATTTCAACAAAACCATTTTTGCTCAGGTTCTTAACAGAGCTTATGTACTCACAATTGTAAATTTCTGGAGTGAGAAGAATGATCAATAGCAACAACCAATAGGAAAACATCAAAGACAATCACATTTTTAGTAAACTAGCAAACAAACTTTAAACACATGAAAACAGTATTTCTGAGAAAGCAGCAGAAATTATTCTGGAAAAGCTGAATTATTCCTCAAAGTCTCAGTATAGAATCAAACTAAAACTGAAACTGACAAATGCAATTTTGGTAATTTTTACAAATCATCTTCCTTACCTAGTAGATATATATACACACACATGTATTTCAGTGCTCTCCTTAACTACTGTGTGTCCTTCGTATCTCATCCTATGACACTTTTTCTACCACTGGAATACTTTCAAAGCAGCTTTTATGTTTTAACACTGAACTTCATGTAAAAGTGAGTTAGTGTCCTAATAAAAAGATATGTTTCCCCTCAAATTCCAGAGTGGATGCAGACTGGGTGCTACAATTCCACTAGTCTGATGGAAAGATCATTTTCTTCTGCCTAACACTCAGCACTGGCATGGATAACAGAATCTTTTTTCAGGCAGGCACAGTCCAGTATAACAACAAAAATAATAGTAACACTTAGCATTTCTATCACACTCTTCATAATAAAACAACACTAATTTTAACCACTTCTTTCCCAGCTCTGTTCTACCTTCTCTAATTTTCTCACATAAACAACATTCTGTATTGATACACATACTGATTGCTAGAAGTGCTGACCAGCTAAATGACAAGAGACAGCGTTAAGATTAAATGAGGAGTAAAGAACGTACAAGAATAGGGAGGATGACAAAAGCAGAAATGTGAGGGGTGAGTGTGTTTAAAGCTGCGTATGTGCATGCACACGTCATAAGAAGAGTATCTACAGAGAACCATAAACAGAAAACAAGGTGAGCAAAAGATAATGTACAAAACAAAAAATGACTGAAAGTAAATAGAAAGTAATGAACAGTACTGAAGGTGACTGAAGCAGACAATGGAGAACAGAGAAAGAAAAGAGGGGTGAAAAAGAAGCAGAAAAGGAAAGATTGTAATAAAAGCTGCTAAGAAAAAATAAAGTATTTCAGAAGCAGAGCAGCAAAAAGGTTTGAAAGGAAAACAAAGCTCAAAAAAAAAGAAAAAAAAAGAGAGATCAGAAGCACAAAAGAACCAGAACCCTTAGTTACTCGTCTAGAAAGTCCTTCTCACCCACAGAATCTGTTACACTGCTATAACCCATCGTGTGTGGGTCCACACTGGAGAGCAGCACCACACCTTTCTACACAAGCTGCCCCACTGGTTCATATGCCCCTTGAGCGCAGTTAACACTACCAGTTACACAGTTCTTATCCAGCACATGGTATCTTTAAATGTTCTTTAAATACATATATGAGTATGTAAAGTCAGCTCCTACAAACTTAACTGTTTGGAAGGCAACTTTTTCAAGAAGCAATTCCCCGGCAGTTGTCAGCAACCTTTCCTCCACAATTCTGTTTCACTTATTCCATACAGAGTTATCTCTCTGTCCTAGATTTTGTACTTGGACGCGGAAGCAGTTGCTTTGATTTGGCGGTGTCTCAGTATAGCAAAGTCATCCATCTTGTATTAGAAATAGGACTTCCTATCACAAAGAAAAAAAATGATAGAGGAAAATCGGACAGCACAGGCACATGAAAGTTTAGAAGCTACATTTAATAAGTTAGTGCTTGTTTTGAAAGGATAAGCAAGATCAACACAAAGCTCAGTTTTCTAGATGTAGCAAAATATGTCAGTATCCTTATTTTAATTACACTTGTGATATGAGCTGGTACCAGCTTTATGACTTGTCTGTTTACTTACTGCTCTGCTTCTCACCTCCCTCTTCTCACTCCATGGTTTTATTCCTACCTCTGCTACTTTCTTCAAGGGTGCCTTACTTTTCCATTACATGCCTTTTTCTTTCTTGTTCTCCTGTTTATCTCCAAAGAAGTACTTAAACTGCTGTATGATGCCATTTCTGCTACAAACCAATACAGAGACAGCTAACAATGGAGAATTCGAGTGGAACAGAGGTTAGCAACATCCATATGACTGGGCACCACGACAACTGGTAAGTCCACAGTGGAAACCTAGCTGTAACCAACTCTGAAGCCAGACAACACAGTAAAGCTCTGCCAGCACCAGGGAAGTCCCTTGTCCTTTTTCTCTTCTCTTGTCCCTAATGGTATTGGAAAAGTCACCATTGCAATGACCAAACTTCTACGGAACATGAAGAATCCCACCCTCAGTGCCTAGTCAATGCTTTCACTACCAAACATAAGGTTATTGTTACGCCTTTTCCTTCCCGTGGGGTTAAATACCCTGCTGATGCAATGCTGTGAATCTGCACTGAATCTCCAAGAATTATTAATACTTACGGATATTAGAAGACAATGCAGATTCTTGCCTTCAATTTTAAATCACATTTCTGCTCACAGACCTTACTCAAGAATTATTGTTTAAGAAAACAGTGAGTATATCTTAGGTTTACACATCTTACAGGTTTTGCATTTCTAACACGGCAAGCCTAGATGCGGAAGTTCTCACTCTCAAACCTTGGAGCAGTAGGAGGAAAACAACAGAAATGGAGTTTTATCAGTACAAAGGGGTTTTGCACTGAGGAAGCTTTCTCCTATAAAAAGAGATGAGGAGAGGTATAACAGCATAAGGTACCTTTAAGTCTACAGTTGAGATGTAGCAGGGGACCTGCTTTGTACCGTTTAAAAATTACTTCAAAATGTATGCAGACTGTAGCTTGTACTGGGGCTATTTGTACTGTCAATGCATTTTGCTCACAAATTCACAGGATGATACATTTTTTAACTTAAAAAATTCATCTTCAGCTTAAAATAAAATGATTGTAAATACAAATGCTACACATACATGCAAACAAACAAACACACATAAGCAGAAATTGAATTATTTGTTGGAACAGTACATGCTATCTCTGTTTAGATCATGTCATTCTAAAGTACACCGCCACAGAACATCTTTCCTGAACGATGTACTCCAGTTACAAAATAAAAGTAGTAGTGAATTAAAGGACGCTATTTGGTCGTTTTTTAACTCACCATGGAGCTGGTAAATCACCCACACACAACAATGCACTTTGTAGACATTTGTCATATACTGCAATGCCCATACTAAGGCAACTCATCTCAGGAGTTGGCAGCCATGCTATCAGCAAGAATTTGGCTACAGAAACAGCAATGATTCATCATGCATTCTAGAAGCACTGTCGAAACAGCAAAACAACACAGTGCTATTTTAATCCTTTAAAGGTAACAAGGGTTTTAAAAAATAATTATAAATTTGCTTGTAAAACCAAAGCAAGCAAAACCCCCATAGTTGTAATAATGCATTTGGAAGTGCATCTTTATTCACGTTTTTTTCCTCCAGAGGCCAGAAACCAGCTATTTGGTAAAAAGTGTCAGCTAATTACTTACCTCTCTACATTGTGATTTAAATGGTCAACTCAACATTCTAGAACAAATGTTTCACAACAGCTAAATCAAAAATCACTTATTTAAAAATAGTTTAATTTAGGTTGTATTCAGTTTTTTAAATCCTCTGTAGTAATTTAAAAAATAACCATCTAGACACATTTTCATTAATTGAAATCTATATTGCAAATAGATCATTTTCAAACTCACCCTCTGAATGAAGAGTCAATAGGATAGTCAGAACATTTGTTTCAATGTACATAACACATCTATTATTGTCCCAATATCCACCGTGAAAACTGTTTCTCAGCTACCAGTATCTGATAATTTGCAAATAGTGGTGCAGGTCCTGTCAAAAGGTCTCAAGTGCTATTGATTTCTCTGATGAAAGCACTCTTTCTTCCTCAGAATGTTCCAGTTAAATACAAACATAGGGAAATTTTGTCTCCTAAATTATAGACATCTGAAAAGATTATTAATTTATTTCCATTGTAATTACATGGTGACACTGCAACTTTATCAGTAACACCCTTTTGCTATCACCTCATTGAAGGCACTAAATGAAGTCTGTATAGAGTTTAAGAAGGCGTCATCAGAAAGCATTTTGGATCTGCTGTCCTTTGTCCCATTACACAAACACACATCATGAACCCTTACCTTTTGGAAAACGACTTCATCCCGCTTTCTTTTCTTTTTGCCGCTTTTTCTGATCCTCTGGTTTGTCTGAATCCATTTTGTGACCTGGAGTTCAAAACCATAGTGCTTTTTTAGGAAGAAGATGCGACCTGAGTGCAGCTATTCAGCATTAGTAAGAAGCTATAAACAGACTCAAGACAATTTTTTCCATTGCTTCACTAGAAGGAGGAAAAGCACTTTTCCCATCTAGAATGACATGGTTTTTAGGTAATCTGGTTAGTTACTTGTACACGGTCAAAGCGTGAGGTGGTGTTCTTCATCTCAGAGCTTTCAGTTTAAGGCTTTTTTTTGCACAAAGAACATGTCTGATGCCAGACCTGGTTGCTAAATGGAAAGTTATCACTGCAGTGTGCAAAAATCCTGGGGAAAATCTCTGTGCTTTATCCCTTACACCTTCTATTTCAAGTAAGAGATTTATTTCCAGCCACCCACTCGAATGTTGTTCCAGACTACCAACGTCAAATTTAGATGGTGGGGGTTATTATTTAATAAAGTAGTAACACTTGGCTGTTTTTTCCCCCCACACAAGTATTTTTATTGCTAATACGAAAGCAATTTTTTCTTTTTTTTTTAAAGGAAAAGCGTGGCGGGGGTGGGGAAGAGGTGTCAGGTGGAAGACCGAAGGCGCCGATTTGCAAGGGAAAGAAGCGGGGGGCAAGGTAGCAGCTGCGAAAAGGCTTTCTCCTCACCTCGCCGCTCACTTGCCGGACGAGATGACACTCCTTCCAAGTCTCACCCTCCTCCAGCAAAGGCTACACGGGGGAGAAAGCGCACGGTGAGGCGGGCTGGCCCGCGGAGTACCCCCGATGCGCTGGGCTGCGCTCCCCCGGGACGGGAGGCGCCGCGGGCAGCCCGCTCCGCCCG